CCCGGGGCTCGGTCCCGGGGCTCGGTCCCGCAGCCGCCCCCGGGGCTCGGTCCCGCCCGGCTGGGCCGCCCGGGAGGGCTGACAGCGCTCAGGCAGCGCTGACCCCGCGGGGCACGGCCGCTGAGCTGCCCTGTGCCCACCGCCCTGCCACTGCCCGGCCCCCAGCCTCCCCTCCTGCTCCCCACAAACCCATCCATGCCCCAGTTCTGCATTCCGTTCCTCCCTGGGCTCCCTGTGCAGCCCTGGGCGCTCCTCCCCGTGTCCCATGGCTTGTCCTGTGCCCGTGCTGACTGTCCAGGCGTGTGCAGGACTCGGTGGAGTCAATGTCTACTGACAGATGCCACCCTGGAATGGGGCTGAGCCCCTCCGGGACAGCAGTGGACGGTCCGTCCCTTGCTCCGAGTCCCTGATTTGTGCTCCCCGAGCCCCTGGGCTCCGCGGGCAGGGCTGTGGGAGAGGGCAAGCCGGGTTATTTGGGTTCCCCACCCTGCTCCCGGCCGCGCAGAGCCGCGCTCTGCCCCGGCTGCCGCTGCCGGGCACGGCGGTCCCAGGGCACGGACAGCGGACCGCGCCCGGCCCCGCCGCGCTCGGGAGCCGCGTCCCGGCCCTTCCTTTGCCCCGGCAGCTGCCCGGCCCCGCGGTGCCCGCCGGGGAGCCGGCCCGCCGCAGCCAGCGCAGCGCCCGGCTCCGCTTGTGGCTCCGGCTGCGCCGCAGCGTTTCTGCACCGAGCCCTCCGCCGCCCGGCCTGCCCTCTCTGCCCCTGTGCCAGCAGCTGTTCCGCTCCCAGAACAGCTCACCCGCAGAAATTAGGGCTATTTTTCTCTTCTGCTGACGCGAGAACTAAGTTTGGCACCTTTCACAAACAGTACCTACCCTGTGGTCGCTGAAATTGACAAAATGAGGTTGAGGCCCGACATCTGAAATTAATGTAACAGTAAACAGTGCTGAGAAAAAGGCTTTGCATCAGTTGCTGATTCATGCAGCTTCCCTGGGAAACGTGCATCACATCTCCTGTCCCACGTGGCTCCGGGTGAAGTTTTCAAAGCAATCCACACAGGAAGCAGATGATTCATTTAAAAAGAAATAAAGCCCTGGTTGTTTGTCCAGGGGGTGAACACTGGTACCCACTAGCAGGGCACATCTGAAGTCTGTGCTGACCTACGAAACATGAAATTTGGGGCTGTGGGGTGGAGCTGAGCTGAGTTACAGTTCCAGGAGCGTGGGGAACAATAACTGAAAAAGCTACGGAACACTTTGTCTCCAAGCAGCATTCATCACCACGCACAGTCTGGACCCTGTCACAGCTGACCTGTGAAAGCCTTCGGCCCTGGGAAACATTTCAGGGCTACTTGAAAAGGTACAGCCTGTGGCTGCTGGCATGCCAAGCTCTGTGCACAAAGGATGAAACGCTGGGAGCTCTCCCATTCATGAGCTGAGCCTGTGGATCCACTCAGATCCACGTCCTGCAATCCAGATTATGCCTCTGGAATGACTGGGATTAAGGACCTGGAAAACATTAAGGACCTGGAAAACTCTGCAGAAGTACAGCTAAGCTGTTGTGAAGGAGGAAATCCCTTCACATTTCACATTTCACAGGATCAGGCAGGCCCTCTGCAGCTCCTCATGCCTCGTGCCAGGGCTCCCTGGCCGTGTTTGGGTGCCTCTGTGCTCAGGGTTTGGGGCAGGGGCCCTTCAGGACCAGCTCCAGCCCCAGGCACTGCCTGCAGTTCCATGGCGTGAGGCTGCAGACAGAGAACGCCTCCACCCTCCTCTGCTCTGCTACATGATTCTGGCTCTCCTCATCATCCAGGTCAGCACATGGAACTGCTGGGGACACCAGAAGTCAGGTTCAACCTCTGTGCTGGTGCAGAAGCTGCTGTGGTTATAGGTTGCAGTTCCTGTGGGCTCACATTTCCTCTTGTCTCTGTCCCTCTCTGGATCACAGGAAAATGGGTGAAAAGCCTGAAACATTTCCCTCGAGGCTTTGACATTGCTTTACAGCATCCACTTTGACTTCCTGCTGAAGCTCTGGGCTGGTTTCACCACCTGAGGGGTCAGAGCAGGGCAGGGGCCCGCAGCACCGGGGGCAGCTCTGCAGGGCCACGTTCACCTCTCTTCACCTTTGGGTGCCAGTTAAGAAGGAGTTGAGTTAAGAAGGAAGAGCTAAGGACTCCAGGTGCTGGGGCTGAGGTCTGCAGCAGCCTTGCAGCTCCTTGGGAGGACACAGACCCTCCTGCCTTTGCCCAGGGGAGGCTGTGACAGGGAAGATCTGTTTTGCCCACGGCAGTACTTGCTGAGCAACCCCTGCCTGACCTTATCGCAGCCCACAGCCTGGTGTTGTATCTCCTCTCTCCTGCCCACCTGAGGAGGGGAGAGACAGAGAGGCTTTGGGGACTGACTCTGTTGAGGCAGGACTGTACAAAAGAACTCCAGTTCAGAAGGCAAGAAAGTAAAACTCTGATTTATTTCAAATACATTGCTCTTCTAGAGAGCATCATCCAGACAATTCCCTTGATCCTGAAGCAAAAACATCTGACACCATTGGTGTGCAGTGAATGATACACAATGGCAGAACTTATCTATGAATGATGTGAACAACAAGAGAGATAAAGAATTATTTACATTCATCCTCAACAGTTTCCGAGGCTTCTGCCTGGTTAGAAACCTTCATTTTCTCTCTGACTGAGTTGAGAATATCCACAGGACACATACGGGGTGCCCAGCCAGTGTCACAGCGGCTGGGACAGGCAGCAGGGGATGCCCGCTGGGACCCTGAGCTCTGAGGGTGCAGAGCCCCCTCCCCGTGACCAGCCCGTGCTCTCCCGGGTCACACACGGCTGGTGCCGAGCCCCCGTGGCTGGGCAGGTGGGCACAGCCCTGTCCTGCTGCTCCTTCTCCTCTGCCAGCACCAGGGACCGAGCTGTGCTGTCCTGGGGTGACGTTATGGTGCTTGTGTCCCAAGTCGTGTGTTCTGTTTATGTCTGGTATTCTGTTCTATGCTTTCAGAACTGACTTTGAAAGTGAAGGTTTGTTTTGTCTTGCTATCAGCCGGCTCACCTCCCCCATGGTCTATTGTCTAGAAGAGGCTGGTGCTGGCTGGCTTGGCTTGGCTTTGTTTGCTTGCTTCTGCTTTTGCCTTTGCTTTTGCTCGATAGTTAGTTTAGCTGAACAGTCCAATTTTTTACCTTTCCCTTTCCTGAATATCACTCCAACCTGCTCCGGAGTGGCACCTGGGAACCCCGAGGAGCACCCAGAGCCTGCGCTCTGTGATCTGCAGCAGCCATCCCCAGTGCCCAGAGCAATCCCCAGCGCCCAGACCCGGCCGACCACCCCCAGGAGAGACTTTCTGGATTTGTCATCTCTTCAGAGTGGTGAAAGAGTTTTGTTGTCATCTGGTGTTGTTACTTTCTTTGGAGCTGGGGAGGGTTTTGTTTGTTAAACAAACAGGTTATTTTCTGCTTCTTTCAGAGAAAATTCTCCCCGAATCAGGTGGGGGGGAAGGGGCCATGGGGGTTTGTTTTCTGGGGGTTCCTTCCAGAGGTTTTTCTCCCAGATTTGCCCTAAACAGGACATGTGCCCAGCAGGGACTGTCCTGTGCCCGACACTGTCCCAGGAGGTGCCTCTGGGCTGGCAGGAGCCCCCGTGCCCCGGTGAGACGGGTCTGGAGCTCAGCCCTGGGGCCGTGGGGCCCCCGGAGCTGCCGGGGACGAGCGGAGCCCCGGCGGGCACACAGAGCCAGCTCTGGGTGGGCACAGAGCCGTGCTGCTGTCAGGCTCGGCCAGGATGGAGTCCTCGGGAGCTCCAGCATCGCCTGCCTCGCCTCCCCGTGCTCCGCTGCCAGGCTGCCCAGGCCCTCTGCAAAGCCTCTGCTCTGCATCCCTGACACACCTCGGGTCCAGTCTGGTGAGTGCAGGTCCCTGGTGCTCCTCTGTTTTATCTATTCCAGCCTGGCCCTATAGTCTGTCATAGACAAACACCCTACCCTTGACAGCTCAGCCTCCTCAGGTGGCTCCTATGACAATGCTGGAAACCGAAAGTTTTAATAAAAGGCAAAATAAAAAAGCTCTTTACAGAGAACAACCAAGCCAGGGCAAGAGGTTCTTGCTTGCTCCTGCTAAAATACTGCACAAAAGCAATTAACTTATTTTGTTCTCTTCTTTCCTAGGGAATTGCTTAGGCAGGACTTTTTGTGTCCTGTCCAATTGGCTATCCTTAAGTTTGAGATGAAGTCCCCAAGGTCCTTTGAGGTGTCTTTTAACCACATTGAGGAGAGAAACTTCTGGGCTTTTGTCCTTTTTAAGGGGACAAAGGGTAACTTGTTTAGGCCCCAACAGGGGCACATTCCCTCCACATCTGGCCAGTGGATGCAGTTAACAGTGCCAGGGCCAGGCTAACAGTGCCTGTTCCAGGAGCAGGGCAGGCTGTCCTTCCACATGAGCCATCCTGAGCCATCCCCACTGTGCAGGAGAGGAGAAACACCACCAGACAGTGCCTGACGGCCACTCCACAGGAGGCTTTTATCCATCAGGCCACCATGGGGAGCTCCTTGCTCCTAGAAACCCGACTGAGGTCTCAAAAGGAATTATCAGGGCAGTTTTAATTTCTGTGGGCTGTTTCTCTCCAGCCCTCTGCACCAGCAGCGTGTTACCATAGCTCCAGAACGTCATGGGAGCAATGGGGAGAGAAGCCTGAATTTCAGCTGAGTGTCTGGGCTTGGCCAGTGTGAAAAACGCCAATCACTTGGTTTATAAAATTTTAAAAGTTTAATAATAATAAAATGCTTATAAAAATAGTAATACAATTGCATGAATAAAATTTAGAGTTAGGACAATCACAAGACAATAAAAAGCAAAGAATTATGGACATCTGGATGCTCTTGGACACTAAGTTATGATAAGTATACTTTGTGAACAAAGGAATAACTTTAAAACCAAAAGCCTGTTGCATATTCATATATTCTTCATGGTTGTGTATATATTTTATTTAAAACAAGAACTCTGTCTGTTGTATGTTAACTATTTCTTTTAATCCCCATGGCATCAGTGAGTCTGAGAAAGGCCTGAGGAAATTAGCTTCTTCCTTTCACATAGCAGAGTTTCTATTTTAACATTGTGCTGGAACCTGAAACTGTATTTAACACACTACTTAAGAGAATTAATACAGCATAACTTTCTAACATTACACACATAATACTCATTGTAACATTTGCGAAAAGCCAGTCATAAAACATGCATTTTTCTCAGCCAGCTTCCCAGGCAGCTCTGCCCAGCCATGCCCTCTCTTCTGCATCCCACCCAGCATCAGCCCGGCCACTGCACCTGCAGCCTGCATCCCTGGGCTCGTGGGGCTGGTTTCCACCCAGATCCCACAGATTTCCAGGAAGATTACCCACAGCAATGGTGTGAGAAATGCATATTTTATGATTGGCTTTTCACAAATATTAAATGGAATACCATATGTATTGTGTTATATTGATTTGAAGTGCTGTATTAACATTTTAATAGTATGGTAAATGTAGTTTTGTAGTTAAAATAGAAACTATGTATGTGGGTTTTTTTTTAAACAAATGAGATACTCACTTTGAGATAACAGTCACAGAACCCCTAAATCTTCCAGAGAAGACAAATTGATGATTTTCTTATCAGAAGAAGCTCATTTCTCCAGACCTTGCTCAGACTCGAAGACACCATGGGGATTGAAAGAGTTGGCATACTCCAGAGAGAGTGTCTTGTTTTAAATAGAATCTATGCATAATGTCATATATATACCATGAAGTATGCATGAATATGCTACAGTGTATGGTTTTTAAGGGTGATTCCTTTGTTCACAAAACATGCTTGTCGGGGCTTACGTGCCCAAGAGCATGCGGACATCTGTAATTCTTTGTTCTTTATTGTCTAGTAATTGTCCTCGGGGTCTTGCCAAGTGACCCCAACACCTAAGGGGTGAGCAGAGCCCACGGGACGCCGGGCTCTGAGGTGCTGAATCTCCTTTCCTGAGCCCGGAGCGCCCGAAGCTCCCAGGGCAGGGGGTCTGGAGGAGCTGACACCCTCTGCCCGCGGTGCAGAACCGGCCGTGCCCGTGGAGGGCTCGTGACATGCGGCGGACTGGGCTGAGGCTGTCCCTGTCCCTGTCCCTGTCCCTGTCCCTGTCCCTGTCCCTGGCCCTGGTCCTGGCCCTGGCCCTGTCCCTGGCCCTGGCCCTGTCCCTGTCCCTGTGCCTGGCCCTGGCCCTGGCCCTGGCCCTGGCCCTGGCCCTGGCCCTGGCCCTGGCCCTGGCCCTGTTTCTTATCGCCGGCGGGGGACTGTACAAACCAAGAATGGGACGGGACTGCTGAGGAACGCGTCTCGAGTTGTTCATTTTCCAGCATCACTCTCATTCCATGGTTATGACAATAGGAAGGTGCCAGCAGCTCACATCCCAGCAGAAGAACAAGAACTTAATGTTACAGCTTACTTTAAAAGCTTTTTGACCAGTCACACAAAGCAAAAGCACACTGGCACTAGTTCTATCCAACCTCTATAAGCACACATACCTTTGGTTAAAGCAATGCTCGCTTATTTC